TGGTGGGGGGGGGGGTCAAGTGGTTCACTCGTATTACGCATTTGTGTAAGGTGAAGATCAAGGAAGTCTGCTCCTGTGAGTTTTTAATTCATAATGGTTAAGACTTGTACGAATGTTCTCAGACGCTGATACGGCGATTACGAAGTTCTCTTTCTAATTAACGAATTTGCATAGTGCCCACTTCAAGGCAGCCACAGCAGTGGCAAAGTAATGAACCATCGGAACCCTTCGAAGAATCGATCCCATACGAGCGATGTCATTCGAAACCAAACACACTGACGATCTAAAGACCGGAGTTGGCTTAGCAAAGTCCCGGCGCAATGTGGCTTGGGGTGGGGGGGGTGCCAGTCCGTCCGCCGCGTTTAGCGATAGTAGTGTACGACTCGAACCTTCTCAAGTGAAACATTATAGGCTTCTCACCGTACTGTTAATGTGACTGTCTTTCACCTCTGGAACTCCCCTGAAATTGGCTACCTTCCCCTGGCTCACGAATTTCGTCTGGCTGCCGCACGGGGCCGCGGCGGCTAGTGGCCCCCCGAGCCACATAGCGCCCAAGCAGGATGACACGCCGCCATTGCTTTGAATGCGATTAAGCAGCTGTCCGCCCACTACATACAGTTTCGCGCTAACCGTATGCAAACATACGGCGTGTCCACCATTTTAATTTGTACGTCGAAACTGGCTTGTTCCCAAGTCCCCTTGTTCTCCACCATCTAAGTAACGAATACTTCTATGTTCCTACTCGGTTCAGATAATCCTCGTGTTTGTCTGCAAAGGACCTATATCTGGCCACAGATCTCCCCGTTTCAAACCATTGTGGAGATCCTGACACTGCAAATTGTAGCATCCGCTGCATCCGTGTGGTCGAGCTCCAGCTCCAGCTCCACGCTCTTAGTCATGCCAATCAACTACTACTCCGACCTCCCTCAAAAGCAATATGTTACCTTTCCGCTTTTGGAGCTCAATTTCCGCAGGTCACACCCAAACTCCCGAAATATACCATGTAGCACGAATTGCGCTAAATCCTGCTTTTTTCCCTTTTACTATAAATTCCTGCATAGTCCGTCACCGCTACGAAACACAGAGGAGCCCTAAGAAAAACTCCCTCCAAACTCAGCAGAAAAATTGCCAACTGCTCACTTCAACTAGCCATGGGAAATCTCAACGAGAAACGAAGCATTGCAATATGTGATTAAAGATTTATATTCCTTTCCACATCAAAAACAACACTTTAGAAGATATAGCTCCACAAATATGCTTAACACAACTACCGCCGCAGTTTCGATGCAGGCGGTTGAACCAGTACACAAAACGCCACCTTCTACTGGCCACCTAGTTGCCAACACTAACTGAAAGTTCCCAATCATTTGATTGCGACGTTTTGCATCCCTAATTCTATAAACAAATCTAAATGTGCCGTATATACAATAAATAACAATGTTGCATACCATTCTAGACTAGGCAGACGACTGAATCTCACAGACAGACAATAGCATGTGAGATCGTAAACGTATGAAAATGAAAAAAAGAACAAAAATAGTATTGATCGTGAGACGAGACACTATAACACAAGGTTACGTGACAAACGAGAATTTGTAAAGCCAAACAACAAACTGCTATTTTTCTCAAATACAAAATTCGAAAATCTTAACACGAGATAGGCATCAAAATAACCGGCTCGAAACTCGAATGGTTTTCCTGATCAGAAGAGAGATTATCGTATACAGCTCGTACAGCGAGCTTCATGCTACTAAAAACGACCAGAATCGATGAAAACTTACAAATATCGGTAGATTTGCAACACTTATACACGAACACGAGACTGATTACTATTATCACTGATGTGTTAACTTGTCCAAATGAGGATAGCTCTGAGAATACTAGCGTACCATAAATGCTTAATATATAAAATCTGAAAGAATGGAAACATGCCCAACAAGGTAACAGGATAGAAATTCATGGCTGTTCTAATCTACTGCAACTTGGTAACACTGGTATCGTTTCTGACATTCACAAAAGTAGCTTGGAGTAAGAGATCGCTAACAAACGACAAAATGACCCACAAGAGTATAGAACGAGTACGAAATCCAGAATAGAAATCTTTTCAAGAAAGTTACGTCAATCAGATCAGGATGTACCAGACATGACAGCTAAGACAAGTTAAACGAGTCATTTCATATATGAGAAAGAGGTAGAAGCATAGCCTTGAAAAGATAACCATATATTTTCACTCAGCCTTCTCAGCACTCGTGTCCTCATCCATGTAATACTGCTGCAAACGAACATGCCAAGCAATTGATGCACATGCTGATATGGTACGAAACTGATGTATGATATTTCGAGGCAGAAAATAGATGTCATTGTGATGAAGCTGTAATATGCAAAACAGTTACTACAAACATTATCTCCTTTACCTGTAAAAGTTACGTATCAACATCAAATCTCATTCAGATACACGCAATCCACCAAGTAGTCTCTTCTCCACTTTCCAATACAATCCTACCCCTTGATTGTCACTTTAGCAACGCAGACCCAGAAGGAAAGAAACCGATGCGATTTCGAATTTCTTTTCGGAAAGAACTCATGCTAGCCCTAATCGCAATCTTAGAAGTTTCACATCACCTTTGGATCATGAAATATGTGCACACCCATTCATGTGCGACCATTTACCTGCATATTGTCCAGTTCGAGGCAAAATTTATTGAATAACT